GCTGAACCCAAAGACAGCAGAGCAGCTAGATACTCATACAAAATGCCATTTTGTTACCTTCTCTTGCATGCACACACACACATACACACACACACACTCTCCCTTGTTGCTGGTCTCACAAAGTGGTAGAACTGGATATGCAGCTGTTTAAAGAGCCTGAATCAAACCAATGGGTTACCATCAGCTGCTCCACCAGCTGTACCTCTAGGCAGAGAGCACTCTGCTACCTGCCTTCCTCACCTCTGCTCAACTGTGTTAACAGACATATATCTGCTCCCTCTCCAACACCCAAGGCATCTGCCCCACTCACATATCCCCTTCCCCTCAGTAAGGACTCTCTCTCTTAGCAGTAGCCTGAAGGAAATCTCATGGCCCTTTCCAATTCACCTTGAAAGTAAAAAGAAATAAAAAGAAAAAGATATTGAGAGCTTACTATAATCCTGATTGCCAGCTTGCAGCTACGTAATAGGAAAGGTAAGGAAGTTCTGTCAACTCAGCATGAGTCACTCATCCATGAAGCTAAAATACCACAGAAGTTTTTGATGCTTGTCTCTACAAATTATGTGGAAGTGGGGCAGGAAAAGAGCCAGAAGTTAAAAGTTGTTCAGAGAGCTCTGTCATACTCCATGGTACAGGACTGATGTTCAAATGGCCGAGGTTAAACAGTCACAGAAATGAAACGATATGTGTCACCTTGTGAGAACTGGTTCAAGGCATCTCAGCAATACAGAAAATTGAAAGTTGCTGTCCCAAGAGTAAGGGTTGAGATTTACTCTGGGCTGCCTTTATTGCTGGAAAGAAAAAAGGGATAGAGACAGGATGGAAAGATGGGGACAAAGCTGAGGAAATTGGCAGTGAGGAAAACAGTAGAGGGAGGAGACAACAGAGTGAACTGCTGCAGCTGAGATTGTGGCAACTGCTGGGCCAGGACCTGCCTTACGCCCCCAAACTTCCTTTGGAGATGGCTGTGGCAGCCAGCACAGCTTTCCCCAGCTCCACATACTCTGCTGCAGCCACCTTGCTTTTCCCTCTCCTCACCCAACACACAGTTTTCATACCATCTGCCCACTCTCTCACATCCATGGTTATCACTGAGCTTGCTTCTTGCTGCAGCCCAGTGCTTAACCCTGCAGCACCAGATCCTCAGGCCATCTGAAAAAGCTCCATAACCTCACCAATGAGCAGGAAAAGAGAAGAAAGGAGGAGGGGAGGAGAAGGGAGGGGTCAGGTCAAGAGATGATGCCCATTTCCTTGCTGAAACCAGTTCAGCTAGATGTTATAAATTATTTCCTAGATTTTCCCCTTAGAATTCCATTCTTTCAAATGTTCCCTGCTGAGAGGGAAAAAGCTCAAAAAGGGAAACAATTCAATTTACATTGGGAGTGTGTGCAAGTGTGTGTGTGCAGACAGGGGAAAGAAGCAGCAAGACCAATGGCTTTGCCTGTTTTTAAATGGACAGCTCATTCAAACACTAATTATTTATTTGGCAGGTCTATATTAAAATTTGTCATCACTGAGAAAGTGGCTGATACACTGAGGGGGGAAAGAACATGCTAGGCAGATAAAACAAAACAACCTGCTAAACAGCTACTTCAGCACCTATGTGCCAAATTTCCAGGTTACATATCAGGTTTGAAAATGCTGACCCTTGTAGACCTGAACACCTAACAGACCCACATTTTCAGATGCCAAGCACCTACTCTAGAAAACTCAGCTCTCTGAAGTGTATATAATTGTGAATCTAAGATGCAGAATTGCTTTGGAAACTCTTAATCGAATGTCATTTTTCTAATTCTAATTTACTATAAATGAGGCATTTATTTTTGAGGAGAAGAAAAATGGGGTTGGGAGGTTTCAGCAAGCAAAACACAAACAAGTCACCATACTTTGTGGGAATTGTTAAATCTAAATATGTCTAATTACAAATCACAGGCACTTTCAGCAGTTGAGTTCCTGCTGCTTTCCTGGCACAAGAAATATCCTTAGAAGAAGAGAGTGCTTAATGATTCCAATCTTTTATATAACACTTAATGATGATGTTGACTTGCATTTGGCTGACAATTCCTTACCTGAAGGCTTGAATGCAATTCTGTTTTTCTTGCCCTTGTTTACTTGTTTCAGGAAGGAATCTCTGAGCAAATCAGATGCTGTAACACGTTTACTAGGATCAGGTTCAAAACAGAGCAAAATAAAGGCCCTTGTTTCAGCGGACAGTGATTCTGGAATTTCAGGATGAATCTTAAACATCCCAACCTGCAAGTAAAACACAAATGTAAACTGTGTTTTACACAAAAAGCACAACACATGGACCTGTTGGAGCAAGTCTAGAGGAGGGACACAAAAACAGTCAGAGGGCTGGAACACCTCTCCTCTAAAGAAAGGCTAAAAGAGTTTGGGTTGTTCAGCCTGGAGAAGAGAAGGCTCCAGGGAGACCTTATTGCAGCCGATTGAAGGGGGCTTATAAGAAAGATGGGAACAAACATTTCATCAGGGTCTGTAGTGACAGGACAAGGGGTAATGGTTTTGAACTAAAAGAGGGGAGATTCAGACTAGGTATAAGGAAGAAATTTTTTTTAAAATGAGGTGGAACAGGTTGCCCAGAGAGGTGGTAGAAGCCACATCCTTGGAAACATTCAAGGTCAGGCTGGTTGGGGCTCTGAGCAACCTGATGTAGTTGAAGATGTCCCTGCTCACTGCAGGGGGGTTGGACTAGATGGCCTTTAAAGGTCCCTTCCAACCCAAACCATTCTCTGATTCTATAATTATTTTAATTAAACAACTGCAAGGAGGCCATAAGACAAAGCTCTCTTAGTGTGATCTTTCACACTTTCGACGACTCTCATAGAAAAGGAGCAATCCAGGTACCCACACAAAACAGAAAAGTGACAACAAGGCTCTGATCCTGTTTTACTTCGTTGTAACCATGGATTGAGAGTTCATGTGGTACTACGCAAATGTAAAGTTATGGATGCATTTAACCATCAACCTTCAGGCCATGCCAGGATATGCACATTATCCACACCAAGCGTTTCAAACGGTGCTTCTCCTGTCAGCCACAAATTCCTCCAGCTATTGCACACACTTCCCATCACCCCTGCCTAGAACTGTATCTCTCCATTGCTGGCTCTTCCAGTACATTTGTGCCCAGAAACGGGAATAACATCCTCCTTGAGCACCAACTGCCTGGGGCCTGCACCTGTTCTGCTCCTGCCACTGCCAAATTTCCGTGTGCAAATGCTCACAATGACCTTGCCAGACCTTGTCACCACCCCTGGCACTTGGGCCAGTTGTCTTCCCTAGCCTTTCAGTGTTATTTAACTAAAAATCACGTGATGCCCAAAGGTTTAACAAGATCCCCCCGCTCTTTCTTTAAGTAATGAAAAATGTGCTTCTACAGGACAGGTTGTTCCCTAGTGATTTTTCCATCTCCTTCACTGCCTTCTTATTCCCTAATGCAAATGTGCCATAAATGTTTTGAAGCAAGAGCTGTGTAACACATGTGCACTGCATGGCATGTATTTATGGCTTGTAGTCTCTGCATCTTTACATAAAGCAGGCTCTAGAGAACAAGCAGGAAGAGAGTGGCCACGAGGGAGACAGGAGCCCAGCAGTTAAACAAGTGCCAGCTGCTTGCTAAAATGAAGAGCTGTTTAAATAATCTCATTATACAGCTGCATTAACACACTGTAGCACCATTAGGCACTCACAATAGTGGTTCAGCTTCAATGCAAGTCGAAGGAAAAAATGTGAGCAGTCGTGCTTCTGTTCAAATGACAGTACCGAATATGAAATGCTAATAATGCATGAAGCCCTTCCAAACCATGACTCTAAGCACATTCAAAACCCAGCATTTCCTGCATGTAACATTTTTAGTATATGCAGCTTGCTAACCTCTGCAATTAAATTGATTTCTTTAATAAAGACATTAAATAAATAAATAAGCTGATGTTATGTCCTGCTGGCAAGATACAACTTCTATACGTTTACCTTGTCTGACGGAGCATTTTATCTGATTTGTAAATTCCCAAGCATACTTTGAACAGTGCTTTATAAATGGGGTTTACAGTTTCAACACTTCAAAACATCAGCCCAGCAAGATTTTTGCTTCGGAGCAGAGAGAGAAGACAGTCACCTGTTTGCTGTGCCCTGACAACTGCTCTTGACACAAGCATCCATGTGGTCAGCCCACTCCTCCTTGGGCACTCTGGGGACAGGCTCACACACACAGCTTCAGCTGGGGCAGTGGCACCAGCTGGTAGCACTGCAGTGCCCTTAGGCACTGAACAAAACCCAGGACAGTCCAAACCAAGACCAGGAAATTTGAATCCATGTCTCTGATCTTATCTTCAGCTGTGTGGTTCAAGGAGAGTAAGTTCTGTTGCAAGCATCCTGAAACTCTGTGGCAATGTTAGTTTATTTCCATTCAGCTGTCATTCGCTTGCACTCCTTTCACACAGATGTACACATACTGTGCTCATAGACGAAATACCAGATAATGTACAGCCAGGAATTATTTCCAGTTCTGTTCCCTCTAGCCCCTTTTCTCTACTTTGTCCAACTCTTTGGTCATTTACAATCTCTATACTAACTCCACAGTCAGACTCAGACCTCCCCTCTCCTCACCTGCCCTGTGCACGACAGTGTGCGTGTGTGGAGGTGGAGACCTCAAAAGTTCAACATCCCAAGTTTTCCAGGCTTGTTTTTACATGCCTGCCTAGCTGGCCTACTTCATTCCTGGCTTCAAACCCAGCTTCCAGCTTGTGTAGTTTTATTACACAACAAAAAGAAACCACAGTTTGCAATTTATGGTGCCCAGCAAGAAGCAGTTCCAAGCAGGTCGCAGCAGAGTCAAGAAACAGAAAACAAAAACAAATGCTTTACTGTAGCACGTTAACTCAGCCTGTAATAACAACACTAAAAACTCTGCCACATCCTTGAAGAAAGAAGGGCAAGAAATTTAATTTAAAAAATTACAATTCTGAGACTTCAGAACACAGCTCTGTGGCTTGGAGATGCTCATGGACAGGACATAGGGACATGCACAGTCCTGACAGAGCTCATCTCATGAGCCTGTGCAGAGCTCATCAAGCACCCAGAACTGAACCAGCGCTTCCTGACAGATCAATAAACTGTGCTGAAAAATAAGACATGTAACTCACTGACCAGTTCCACTACATGCCTGACAGATAAGATGAAAAGGCATCTGCCAACAGAACCGCTTCTTACATTTACAGCCATGTGGAAAAAAGTCCTTCCATAGCTCCCCCTGGAACGCTTTAATGAACCAAACCATGTTCACCCAGGCAGCTTTTCTTGAGGTAGTGCCACAAACTGACAGCACCAGGGTGACATATTATACCATTGCAATAACTACATCAAAGCCTATAACCATTCCTTTCTTCGCTGTTTAGCTGTGGTGTATGGGACAACTCACAGGCCCAGTATGACGCATGGCGTTACGTGCTGTGCAGAATTGCAGCCCAGCTGACTGCACTTGATAAAGATCTGCTTTTGCTACCATGGTTCCAGTAATAATTATTCTAATGTTCACCCAGTGACTTTCAACAACATACATAAAAAAATTAACAATACTGACTACTTAAAGCAGTTTGCTGGGTTATGGATAGGGTATTTTCACCATTATAAGAATGAGGACTTTGAAGCATACGTAAAAACTTAAGTACTTTACTAAAGGTCTATTGCAAGACAGTGGAAAAACCAAAAATTTTCAGTCTGCATATTTGACACATTATCATATCATAACTTTTAAAGTACTGTTAGTTTTAGAGTTAAGACAAGTAACTTTTTTCTGAATACTTTTATTATCAAAACTATGTGAAGCATTCTCTTCTCAAATGTTAACCTGTGCATTTGGAAACAGATACACTAAGAAAAATAAAGTACTAGATGCAATAGTTTACCAAGGAAGTAACTGTGATCCAAAGGACCAGAAATCCTGGGAAGTCAGCCCCCCACCCGCTTCCACCATCACTTCCATGTTGCAGAGACTGGGCCTCTGAAAGACAAGGCAAACAGATCCTCTGGGAGGGAGGCTTATAAAAAAGGACTTAAAGGAGTGGAAATAACTTGGTTGTCATCGTTGGAGAGAGTGATTGCCAAGAAGGAAATCATAAACCAAGAGTAGGAGATGATAGAAGTACTAGGGTAGAGAATATTAGCTTTCATAAGTCTTCAGTCGTTTTCCAGGTTGCTGCTTTGAGTCATGACCTATTCCCAGCACAAAAATAAATGATCACCCCCTAGAGCAAAACAGATTAGAGCAGAGAAGGATCATTCAGTGAGAATTAAGAATGCAGGTCAGACTGTGGCTTTGTGCAAAACAACCCGTGCATCAAAAGGTTACTACCACTTAAATTAATATTAAAAAAATAAGTTAGTATTTGAAAAATCATAAACTTTATAGCAAAAAAGCTGCACTTACTTTAAACATTGCTGCTTGAGGCTCCCCTAGTTCATGAAATGGAGGTTTGCCTGTTGCCATTTCAATAATGGTACAACCTAGTGACCAGATATCAGCTGGTGCACCATATCCTCGTGGTCCTTTATCGATAATTTCTGGAGCCATATACTGCAATGTTCCTAGTCAGGACAACAAGAACAGTCAAGTGTTATAGCCTTCATTCTTGTTAAAGAGAATTAACACATCACTAAGCAGCCCAAAATTTGTCAAATGCAACCTGTATAGTCAAAATACTTAAGTTCCAACATCAGCACTGAAAACTAGACAGAAACTTATATTTTAACACCATCACTATAAACTGTCTTTCCCCCCCTTTCTAACGCAAGGCTTCAAATTGCTAAAAGTATATTCACAATATAATCCAAATGCTTCCTCAGAAAGTAAAACTCTATCAAACAACTTTTGCAGACCAGTGGAGATTACAGCTGGCATGTGAAAAATCTTCTCCAAGGCTGCCTCCCTACTAGGCCTGCTGCTTATCAAGGAAAAAACAAGAGATGGGAGACAGCAGAGTCTTTTGGATGTGCTTGAGATTTCTGACATCCAAGGTAAACAAAAACAAAACCAAAACAAAAAAGAAATCTACTGAAACTTCTAAAGTTATACAGCTATATAAAAGGTGTATATACAGCTATATAAAAGCTATATAAAAGGCTGTTAAAAGGTGAACTTGAGTGTCTCTAAAGTTTGCCTGTAGACAACCTGACTGTAATACCAGTTATAGTACTGATAAACAAAAAGAAAATTAAAAATGAAATAAAAGATAGTAAATTTGTGATCACTAATATTCAATCATATACTAACACAGCTAACAAGAGATCTTTACAGGAAGACATCCCACACCAACAATGGAAACCTATAGATGTTCTGAGTGTTTCAAACACTACAGTACTTTCTCCACATAAATTCCTACCAACTCTGTTAGGACATTTTTAAATTAAATTGGTTTTCTTCTTAAGAATGCAATAACATTACACTGTGAAAAAACTGTGAACTATTAAGTAAAGGCCATCTGATGAAGATAAAAGGGACTGGATATTACTAGTTTCATTAAATACGACTGCTGTAAAACAAAAGTTCAAGACACAGCTTCACCCTCAGTCTGTGTGTCTTGAATGGAAGGATATTACATCTAAACCACTAGAAGTCTGATTCTTCAATCATGTGATTGTATTACATAAACTCTGCAAATTTTAGACATTATCTACTGAGGTAAGGAACAAAATAAATTGCAAGAGAGCTTTTAAGACTCTCTGGGCTATAGGTACCTGCTTACTGATTAGAAATCCAAAATAAGAACTTAAGTAAAATATTTATTCTCATGGTAAATTACATCTCTGAGGCACAAACACAGCAGCAAACATGCAAGAGATCAAAGAAGGCCGCAAGGAAAGATTTACCTTCTTTTGTTACAATATGGTGATTTTTTTTTTTTTTTCAGATACTATTTCTCCATATATCATCTCTATATAACAAACAGTTGCTAAAAATCCACTATAAAGTAAGTAGAACACAGACAAAGACAGAGTGATTTTCCTCTAGTATCTGTTCCAGTCATAAGAGCCATCAGCCATAATCGTGTCTTTCTGGGCCAAAATTAAATTTTGAATGATCACTTTTAGTAGCTGCAAAAGGGTCTTCTTCCATGATTTAATATTTTACTTTACTGAACTCTTTTATATACTTAAAGTTTCCACAATATTCTGTAGAAATGAGAAGTGCAGTATAGTTGTACACCACTTGCTAGTGCATCTCTTTCCCATGGAGTTTAACTGCATTGAGCCAGTCTAACAAAATATTCTTTTCCAGATACCACAAGAAACCTGTACACATTTGAGAATTATTCATTCAGTTGCATAAACAAGATGATTAATGAAAAAAATATTTGTTGAATAATTAGTTTGGAAAAAAATAGTGCAAATCCTTGAAGGAATGCTTCAGACTCTAGCATTTAACCAGCTTGGTTCAGACATACTGTCATTTATGTATCTATCTGTTGTGGCATCTATAAACTGAAGAGATTGCTTCTTGTAGCTCTTCATTCTAAAACAAAACATTCAAATGCTGCATTTATTATTCCCAACTGTACAAACATTTTTCTTTTTTTTCTTCTTTTTAAAGGACTCCTAACTTAATTTGTTGCTAACTAAAGTCTTTAAAGCTTAGCAGGAACTAGATTTGTTTCAAATGCCTGCACCTGATGAGATGTCGATTTCATGAGATATTGATGCAGACACCACAGAATCATGGAATGGTAGGGGTTTGAAGGGACCTCTGGAGACCATCTAGTCCAACCCCCCATCATATGCTGTGCTCAGATCATGATGTAATATAGGTCCAGTTTCCAATTCACAAGCTTTGCTAATGATGAGTAAAAAAAGGTTAGAAAGGTAAGTTATTTCAGAACCTTAATAATTTTATTTTCATGGCTTCCTTTGTAAAAAAGCTGGACAAACTGCAGACTCACCACTAGACAGGTAATGGGAAGTGTGGAGTAACTGCTGGAGGTAACTAAAATTCAGAAAATGTCTGTGTCCACACACTAAGGGCAGGTATAGTGTCGAAGAAGATCCCAGTGGAAATTACAGCTGGCATGTGAAAAATCTTCTCCAAGGCTGTCTCCCTACTAGGCCTGCTGCTTATCAAGGAAAAAACAAGAGATGGGAGACAGCAGAGGCTTGCTTTCCAGCTCATCTCAGTTGCAGCATGGTACAAGGCTTGATGTACTGTCTATGAGGAACCCGGGGTTGACAACTGGAGCCCCACAGATTCCCCTCTGATGTTTGCCTCTCTACAGCAGACCCTGAATTATAGCTACACAAAAACATAACTCCAGCACACTGACCCCCCTCTTTCCCCCTCATAGAGAGCATCTCTAAGTTTTGGCAATTTCTACCATAAAAGGGGAATGGAAGTGCCTTTTGCCAATCACCATAAAGGTATGACTAGAGTCACTCAAGTTCCACCTTGCAGGTAGAAAAATAGTATAAAAATAGCCCCAAGAAAGGAGGGAATTAGGGAAGACACCATCACGGTCAGGGAAGATGCCATCACGGACAAGTCAAGAACGACTCCATCTCAGACCTCTGACCCCTGGGACCAGTCAACGGGCTGAGCCTCTCTTTCCCCCCCATTGGGACGCCTTTGGGTAAGACTTAGACTTAGCCAAAGATCTTCCTCAGAAACATAGAAAATCTCTAGAGAATTATTTTACCAACTTAGCGCTTGTAGTAACTTGTCACCTTTTAGCAATTAATAACCCTTTTAGTAACTTGTAACCTTAATGCTTGTGCATACTTCTGCAGACAGTTGTTTATCACCGGCAATCCATACAAATCTGTATTAATCTTGTTGCTCTATTAAAGGTGCTTTTATTTGCTTACAGAGTTGCTGCACAATTTCTTGCTGGGCTGCAGCCTGATAAGGCCATGGGAGTCCCTAGATTGTGACTGGCCGATGGGTGCAGGACACTATCGAGTGAATCTGGCACTGACATGCCCGGACTTGTGGTGTCTCATCAAACTGCGTCCATCTGGAACCAGCCACCCCAACTGAACTGTGCTCAGCAGGACACTGCTAAATTCTGCAGGTTTAGTCATGTAGGTCCATAAATCGTGATAGTGATCAATTGGGTATCACTCAGGATTTAAGCCCAGCCACCCTCAGCTCCTCCAGTTATCTGAGGGTGAGTTGGAACGCAAGGGGGTTTATTTCCTGCTAAATTGCCTTACCACCCTTTTCATGCAACAGGAAGCCTTGCTTATTACTTAAATGGGGGTTGTTGTCTTCTGTCTTCCACACACATGCCTGATGGCTGTGTAAGTGTACCTTGTACTTGAACTGCAGGACACGAGGCTTGTGATTTGTGGTATCAGCCTATGCACACGGCCATATAACAAGTGAAAACATCATGTTACCTGTATCTCCACTGATAAAAGATTAATTATGTGACCATATATTCATTTTTCAATGTGGAGTTTTAGCTGTTACTCAGCAAATTTTGCTTTCCCTGAATATTGCAAGTTTTCACTACCTTGTTGTATATGAGAGTTTTTCTGTAACATACCAGCCTCGTATTTTCACGTAAACTGTTTTTACTTCTGATAACACCAGGTTAGACAGTTGGTTGAGTTTTATAATTACTGTCTCAAAACTGAGAGTATTTATAAGTTTGTGTTTGTCTGTCTGCACTTTCAGACATACTTCAAGAAAGTGTGCATGCATGAGTTATTAATATCAAGATTATTAAATGAAAAAGTTGCTGTATTCAAGTAATTGCAATAAATCAATTGCTACTTAATGAAAAACACTTTAGTAGAAAAACTATTACCCCACCACACTTAAAAAGCTTAAAAAAAAAGTAAAATGGAAGAAAATTACATTTAAAAAAAAAAGATAGCAAATCTGTGTTTATAGTGATCACACTCCTACTCACTCTTCCCTGAAAACAGAGACCTAATTGTGTTTTCACCACCAATTCAAAGAGCCTCTTGGCTCTAACTCTAACTCTAAATCTATCATCAAACCCCTTATAAACTCTGCTAAATTAGTCTGTCTTACCTGTAAACGTTTCAGTGCATGGATTGATTCCTGCCAGCCGTTTGGAAGTACCAAAATCAGATATCTTTACCACACCACTATAGGTGTTCACCAAAACATTATCTCCCTGTGGTTAAGATGTGAGAGAGAGAGAGGGAGGAGAGGCAGATGAGTACAGATTCCAAATCCCAATCTCAATACTCCTTCAAGTTTGCAGTTATCTTTGTAATATACCTTTCTACAAAAGGAATTTTCCAGGAGCACCAGAGACAAGGAGTTGTTCTATTCATTCCTTTTGTTTTAAGCTTCCATGACATCCTATTAAAAATTCTACTTCAATTCAGAGTAAAGCTAACAAGCTAAAGTAAATAAGATAAAAAGCAAATCACAAAATACACACTAAAGGAAAATTTACCTTTATATCTCTGTGTACAATCTGGTTCTCATGGAGATACTTGAGGCCTTCCAGAATCTGCTTGGTGTAAAATTTAATTGTAGGTTCTTTCATTGGGCCCCACTTAGATCTTAGGAGAGCTGAGAGGCTTCCTACAAGAGTTAAGAAGAAAGTGTATCAAGATAGCAAAATCCCCAAATTAACATGAAAATTTTAAGTCTGGATTAATCAGGTGGGGAACACCACTAACCACAGGCCTCCAACTAGACTCTGCACCGCTGATTAAAACTCTCTGAGCTCTGCCATTGAGACAGTTCTTCACCCACCTCACTGTCCCCTCATCTAACCCACACTTCCTAAGCCTACCTATGAGGATGCTATGGGAGACAGTGTCAAAAGCCTCCCTGAAGTCAAGGTAGACAACATCCACTGCTCTCCACTCATCCACCCAGACAGTCATGCCATCATAGAAGGCTATCAGATTGGTCAAAAATTATTTCCCTTAGTGAATCCATGTTGACTATTCCCAATACCCTTCTTTTCACCTACATGCTTAGAGATGGCCTCCAGAATGAACTGTTCCATCACCTTCCCTGGGATGGAGGTGAGGCTGACTGGTCTGTAGTTTCCCAGGTCCTCCTTCTTGCCCTTTTTGAAGACTGAAGTGACATTGGCTTTCCTAAGGCACCTCTCCCATCTTCCATGACCTTTCAAAGGTGATGGAGAGTGGCTCTGCAGTAACATCCACCAGCTCCCTCAGCACTTGAGGGTGCATCCCATTGGGGCCCATAGACTTGTGGGTGTGGAGTTTCGCTAGGTGGTCCCTAACCTGATCCTCCTCAACCAAGGGCAAGTCTTCCTCTCTCCAGACTTCCTAATTCAGCTAAAGGGATTTCCAGTCCACACCAACAGCTTTCTGAAGTGAAGCATCCTCAAAGAATCTTGCATAATTTGAACAACTGGTTCCTTTTTAAGACTAGCTGAAGAGTTTAAAATACCTGAATTGGTTCAATAATATCTTGACATTAGGAACTAATCACACCACACTCTACGGTGCATATATGAACACGAAGTTTAAGTATGTAAACAACAACAGCTGATACTTTTAACACGTGCAGGAAAACAAGTGGAAGAGTTGGTATAAACTCATCACATCTGCATGCATCATACATGTCAGTGTCTCAGCTTTCAGGTGAGAAGGTTATGGGAATTAAAAAAAAAAAACAAAACCAGAAAAAAACTTCTTCCCTATGCCCCAGATGTATTTAATCACACTTCAAATGTTTGTGTCTGGACCTTCCCTAGAAAACCTGAACTTTTTTCCTAGTTTTCTTATTTCTGTTTTTATTTTGCAAATTATATTCATACGAGAATTTAACACTCATTCTGACATATAGTTGACAATGAAGAGCAAATAGCGAAAAGGAGATGGAAATATAACCTAGAGAGGATATAGAGGGACTTCACATCTTAAAATGTAGAGAAGGCTAGAGGAGCAAAACTGTAAATTATGATCAAGGTAAGCATATAATTTTTATCTCTTATCTACCTAGGAAATTGCAGTGCTTTGTATATAGCAATTACAAAATAATACTTAATTACTCAATCAATGTTACTGCTCAACAGAAACTTACCCTAAAAGCTCCAGTCATCATTCAGATGCTCAGGCTAAATAGACTACACAGCTCTAACTCCACTATTTTATAACACATGAGTATTTGACACCAAATACTTCTAATGACTTTATGTTTATAATTACTACAGAAAGGAGAGAGGGTATCAGGACCTGTACACTTCAAATCTATTCTTTATATGAGAAGAATGCCACCTGTAGTTAACATCTCCACAGAAAAGCTGTATACAGTGCACAAACATATTAAGTGCACAAACAAGTGCACATCTATTTGTTTTCACTAAGTTTAGAGGCCCAACTGCTTTTGATTCTTTTGAGAGACTAAGCTCAGAATGATACAAACCTCCTGGCACCTGCTCCATAAAAATCTTAATGTATCCATCTTCCGAAACAGATCCAAGATACTGGACAATGTTCCGATGCTTTAAATATTTATGCAGTGCTATCTCTTCGTGAAGAGGTTGAGAATACCTATGAAAAAAAGAAAATAAAACAAAAATGAGGGGTATCTCATCATGCAGGAAGAGGTTCCAGGCTATGCTTAAAGGCTAGTTTGCAAATAGAATGGATTTTAGGGATACTGATCCAATTCTCAGGAAATATCTTGTCCATGACCTTCAAAATGCAGTGTGACTGGCTGCCTGTTCAGAAAAGGTACAGAGGTAGATCTCAGAGGAACCCTGAAGGAGAAAATTGCCCTCAAAGAATTTATACGTGCCTTTCTTCTGTATTGTCACATAATACTGTCTTTGCCTCTGAAATTCTTTCACAGAATCACAGAATGTTAGGGAT